CTGGTACTGGCCTCCCGGGAGGTTACACGAGGCTGGCTCCAGGGAATCGTCAACGCTTCTTTGAGTGAGGGGTTCTTGCCGGCCGCCTTGAAAGAGGCGGTGGTGAGGCCCCTCCTCAAGAAGCCCTCCCTGGACCCAGCTGTTTTGGCCAACTACCGTCCTGTCTCCAACCTTCGCTTTCTTGCGAAGGTTGTTGAGAATGTGGTGGCACGACAGCTCCCTCAGCACCTGGAAGAAACTGTCTGTCTAGACTCATGCCAGTCCGGCTTCCGGCCTGGGCACAGCACGGAAATGGCATTGGTCGCGTTGGTTGATGATCTCTGGAGGGTTCGGGATAGAGGCTGTTCCTCTATCCTGGTCCTGCTAGACCTCTCAGCGGCTTTTGATACCATCGACCATGGTATCTTGTTGCACCGGTTAGGGGGGTTGGGGTTGGGGGGCACCGTTTTACGGTGGTTCTCCTACCTCTCGGACCGGTCGCAATTTGTGTTGGCAGGGGGGCAGAGGTCGACCTCGAGGCGCCTCACTTGTGGGGTACCACAGGGGTCGGTCCTCTCGCCTCTCCTGTTCAACATTTATATGAAGCCACTGGGTGAGATCATCCGTGGTTTCAGGGTGGAGTTTCATCAGTACGCAGATGACACCCAGCTGTAGATCTCCACCCCGGACCACCCCAACGATGCCGCGGAAGTGATGTCCCAGTGCCTGGAGGCCGTGCGAGTCTGGATGGGGAGGAACAGGCTTCGACTCAACCCGTCCAAGACCGAGTGGCTGTGGTTTCCGGCGTCACGACATAGCCAGTTGGCTCCATCTCTGGCTATCGGGGGCGAGTCATTAGCTCCCGCGGAGAGGGCCCGCAACCTGGGCGTCCTCCTGGATGCTCAGCTGTCTTTAGACGATCATGTGACAGCCATGGCCAGGGGGGGTTTTCATCAGGCTCGCCTGATACGCCAGTTGCGCCCCTTTCTGGATCGGGATGCCCTACGCACGGTCACTCAAGCCCGCGTTGTTTCCCGCCTGGACTATTGCAACGCTCTCTACATGGGGCTCCCCTTGAGGTGCATCTGGAGGCTCCAGCTAGTTCAGAATGCGGCCGCGCGGGGGATTTTGGGGGCCTCTAGATACTCCCATGTAACACCTCTCCTGCGCGAGCTGCACTGGCTGCCGGTGGCCTTCCGGGTGCGCTTCAAGGTGTTAGTAACAACTTTTAAAGCGCTCCATGGCAATGGACCTAGGTATTTGCAAGACCGCCTCCTACCAAAT